GTGTTTTTAATACATTGGGTCATTTTGTGAAAAAAAAATTAAGAAAATGGCTGTTTTTGCCAGACAACATTGACAATTTTCTTGTGATAATACGGTTACAGGTCATGTTTGTTTTTTGTTATTGAAAAATCTTGCATAATTTACAAAAGGTAATTTGATACCCTAGAGCAGGAATGTTATATTTTTTCTGATATCACGTTCATTAGTATTATGGTAAATGTTCAGATCAGAATGTTTTTGATATATTGTTAGTGCACAGAAGTATTATGTTTGAATATTTGTTTTGTTATTCTTGTTTGCTAATTCGAGTAGGCGAGTTGCGTCTCGCTGTTGACATTTTGATTTTGTGTATAAAAGTGATGGAGATCACACACAGTATTTTTTTAGAGAATTCCTAATTATTTTGCCCCCAATATTAAATGTACTATATGCTATGTGTTATTGGAAATAAACACTTTTTGATATTTTCACTGACTCATATTATCGAAAAATTGGACATGACCTTGTTTGAAGATGTCTTGAAAGAACAGATTTCACTCAGGAAAAAATCTCTATTTTCAATATTATAGTTGTAGGAAGGCGCCCCCAAAACATGCACCTTTGCCATTTTTAAAAAGTCAGGGATTTCAACAAACATAAGACCAGCACCAAAAACTTGGTTAAACTTTAAAAAAATTGAAAATGTATTTGAAGTGTACATAAAAATTACACTCAAAATCAAAATATCCGTCCGAAACTCCAAAAGCTTTGACTTCGTTCAGATTAATCGGAGAAAAGTCAATTTTAATTTCCAATTTCGGAGAAAATTGGCTGAACGGTTCAGACGTTAGTGGTGCCCACAGGCGGACGGGCAGACAGACAGATTCGTCCGCCCGTCAATTGATCAATCAATTTTTCGGCCGTCGGTCAATCGGCCATCAATCGATTTTTCAGTATCAAGGATCTACAAAATATGGATTCTGGCTACACTACAGGTTAGAGGAAGTAATTTACAATATATTTACAGGATGTATCCACTTATGTGTTGCCAGGGCCCGGCAATATATTTCTGCCTAAAAGTCACCGGTTTCCGGCGCACGGTTACATAACGTTCTGTTCTTACGAAGTGTGAGAAAGTAAAGTAGTGAGGCTACAGAATGGTACCGACTTTCTCGTAATAGTTTTCTATTTCTTTTGGTTTGGGGTAGCTATTCGGACTTGCCATATACTGTTGCCAGATGCCATCTATCCCCACCCAAAGTACATTTTTGAAGAAAAAAAAATCTTCGTTTTCCTAATAGCGAAACCGAAATATTACATTAAGAACGTTAAAATCTCGTCGTAAATGGCAATTATCATTGAAACATTTGAAGCCGATTTTAAGACAATGACGTTTAAGTGTTACTGTAAATGCAAAATTTGAAGATATTTTTCACATAAAATGTTTGAGTTTTCGAAAAACATTATTAGAATTCATTGAAAGCACTTTAACTCAAAAATTCAATAGTGGCGTGAGAGATAATTAAAAAATATTTCATTTGTGTAATTTTTTATGAAACAAAAAATGAATTTTAGGTCATATTAAACAAATTAGTACTATCCGTACTAAAAGTTTGAAGAAAAAATTGGAGACATTTCTGAGAATATGGCGTTTGAGCGTTTCTGAAAATGCAAAAATTTTAGCTCATTTTAACAGAAAACTATTTTCGAGAAACTTTACGTGACATTATTTAAAACACATGTACTCGTAAACATAATAATGTAAAGAAATTGCCGCTAATGTAAAGAATAACGACGTGAGATTTTTGTAATTTTGTAAAAAAAAACAACCAAAGAGCAATATGACATTTACGTAATTTTGTAGAGTACATTCAGCACTATCCCTTCCGAAAGTTTAAAGAAAAAAATCAGAAGTCTTTTGGGAGAAAATCTTGTTTTTGTTACTTTTAATATTGCACATGTTGCCGGCAATATTGTGCGAAAATTTTCAAAAAAATGTATATGAAATTAATGAAGGAACTAAATATGGAGAACAAGTTTTACTTGAAGAAAAAAAACATTTTTAATTTTGTATTTGTAGAAAGACGCCGGAAAAATTCAAACTTTTGAAAATTCAGTGTTAGCAGATAAAGACGGACCTATGCCATCATTAAAAGTGTATTTTACCCTAGTGTTTTAAAAAATAGAGAAACGTAATTTTCAATTATCTCTCACGTCTTTAGTTTGCACATTTCCCGCGATTTGTATACATTATTGCATTTGTGAGTGGACGTTTTTCTAAGACTCAAAAATTTTCTGTGAAAAATAGCTTGAAATTTCGCATTTTCAGTAACGCTTAAATACCATTTTCTTGAATGCGGCTGCAAATTTCCCAATGAAAATTGCCATTTAGGGCGACGTTTTACTCTTTTGTATTATTCTTAAAGTAATATTTCGGTTCTGCTGTTAGGAAACCGAAAAATTGAAAAGTTTTAAAAAAATATACTTTGAGCGGCAATAGATAGCAGCTAGCAAGATTATGTGGTATGTCTGAATAGCTAGCCCAGACCAAAAAAATATACATGGATTTATTTAGAGCTGCCTCTCACGTAAATCTTTCATTGCCTCCTGAACCGTAGACCCCAAAATGTGAGTGCCGCCTTTGCAGTGCCAGGGCTGCCACGGAAAAATAGCTAGGAGTTGCACGCTTTCCATTCCGCCGCCCGCTCGCAGGGGGCACCATTTTACTCTCCATGACCCCTGGAGTTGAGTCACTTCAAAATAATCGATCGGATCAGTAGTGGGCAATCTCCCGACAGCCCGTCGAGAAGAGGCCAAGGCCAGGGTATTGAGGTATGGCAAATGTTACCCTGCATACGTATCAACGTTCTCGTACGATCTATCTACGAGTTCTACACCAAGAAATCAAATTGGAAACTTATCAAGCGACCAGGCACCCATTCCCTCCGACATGGGTCGCCATGCATGGCAAAACACTAGGGTAGGCGTTCAGCACACCGAGAAAGCCAGTGAAGACGAAAAGAGAGTGATAAAAGAGTGAATGTGAAATATGAATTGCAGGGTAATGGAATGGGAAATAGAGAAATAATCACATATGCGTCTTACCTGCAAACCCTCATCAAGGATGTGGATCGACAAAATTTGATGGGCCTTTCTTCTTCGAACTTGGTCCTTTTTGAATTTCTCATACTTTTTCTTCCCATGCAAATTGTTTTATTTTTCTTACGACTTTTATCTTTTGTGTCGAAAGTGTTTTTTTGCTGTTGATATAATACAACTTATTTTATCTTTTAGAATCGTTTGCATTTTTGCCAACTGGTACTTTCGCTCTTTTCATTACTCAACTGTCTTTTAATTTCTGCACTCATGTCCTTCGTTATTTAATGTCGCTCGTATTCCATTTGGCAGACGAAACTGATGCTATATTTTCATCCATTATGCAGTTTAATGGAAAATTAGTACTACCTTTTCATATTCGATTCACTGATGATAACATATACTTCATTGTAGATTTATTTCATTTAAGTTAAATGACATTTTGCAAAACAACAAATCTCATACACTTTGACATTTCCAGTAATTTGATGTTCAAATTTCATCCCGATAAAGGATAAATTGAAGGTTTTTAAACAAATAACGTTAGTCGAAAAAGTGAGGTTAGAGATACTAAAACTATTGCCAGAGCTTCATAGCTTCTTTTTGATGACTGTGTTGAACAAAAGCAGCCCCTGCCTGTAGTTTTTAGCTCCGAAAGTTTGAGTGATTTTAATAGACAAACCACAAACCAGGCTCTTTTCGTAAAAGAACCATAGTCCTTTATATGAGAATTTTCTCCGAGATTATTTCTCGAGCATAGCGTATCTCAAAATGCAACAGATGATAATGTTTGTTTTGCGCATGTGGTTATTCTGCATAACCAGTATTTTTGTCCTGGAAGATAGGTGATTGTGTATAACATGTTCTTGTGGCATATACGTCGTTTTTGTTGTGAATCTGAGCAAGCAAGGGAGAAAGTAACAGCGAAGAAATGGATTCTACGTCAGATGTGGAAAGAACAGTGTGGAAGAGACGTAAACCAAAAAAAGGAAAGGGAATGTAGTAAGAGCAAAGAAGGTTAAAGGAGAAACATTTTAATCACAAAGGAATCTTGTCTATTTTTTTTTAAAGGAAGTCGTCTAAAAAGTTGTGTAAAAGAGGAAGTTGTCTACATATTTACAGTCACCTGCTAAGAGTGATTTGTATCTAAATTTGTTATCAGATGCTAATGTGGAAAAAGAAAAAACCGATAATGATGATAACAGCAGTGGCGAATAACAATAAATTGGTCAATAATATTCCAAATTGATTAAGTGCATTAACGTCTTACATTATTCAGGCAAATATTGTAATATTACTGCACCAAATAAATAATTTAGATAAACAAATGTCTCATTTAAAAAACACCATAGTCCATAAACACCCACTTTATCCAATAATTACTACAATATAGTTCAAGTTTGAATTACACTCAAGCGTTCGTCAGTATTTACAATAGCTTGAGAAAGTGCACAAGAATTTTCATACTTCAAATGTCTACTAATTTCGTCATGAACATTTTTTCGCTCTCATGGAGAATTGTGTTATTGGACTATGGTGTGTTTTTTATCAAAAAAAATTCAATTAATATCGTGTCCGCTTGACCCAAACGTGCGCTTCATATTTGACTTTTTTAAATTGAAAATGTTTATCAAGAGACTTAGACCGTCATTATATGTTATGTGCATAACTTTTTAAAAAGAATAAAGTTTTATTTTTTACATCATATTCTAATTAGTCTAAGTGTTGACGCAATCGCAAAAAGCTCCGTAGTGATGTCATCAAATTAGACATTTCCTCTAACAAAGAAAAGTTCACATAGCAAAGATGGAGAAGCCACTTAATTCTGGTAACCACCATTTAATAAATAACACGCTTATAAATTAAAAAATACTAAACCCACATAAAAAAATCTGACATCATTTGTCTCACGTCTTGTCACTCACTTTTCCTCGATGTCCTTCGCCTTGTCACGCACGTCATGCGCACTATGCTCCTCTTCAAAGTACATTTTTTTCGTCTTGTCAACATCTTGAACGCACATCTGTAATTCCTTCTGAATCACCTGCAGTTGTTCCACGCACTACAAAATAAGAATAGAGATTAGAAATAGTGTGTGTGGATTGTTTAGTTATCAGTATTGTAAGTGTTGAAAGTAATGGACAATTATTGTGTCTGTTTTGCAAAAACCCAAATATCATATCTCTGAAAAAACAATTTTTGTCGTTTTGTAGGCCTATCCCAATTGATCATAAAGTGAGTTTGTACAAATGCGGACAATATTTTAGATCACATATACGATGGCTCGAAGAAGTTGGATAACAAGAGGAAATACCGCAAAACATTTCCGTCCACCCGTGAAAGACAAAACACAATTATCACCATCAATCGGAACTCAAAGCTGACTTTGTTAGATTGTATCTTAGTTCCCTTCCCTTCCAATCGTTACCACTCCAGCCATCGTCAGGTCCAGGCACAACCCGACGCAAACAGGTAAGAAAACCTATACAAACAAATACAAGTAGAGTTGCACAACCTAACCCACCAATGAAAAAGGAACCTGAGATAACTGAGCCCCAAAAATATACTAATCTACTACTACACATTAAGTGGGGAGATTTATCTTTGCAACAAATCTCACTAACTCAAAGTGAATCTCCCATCTATCTTTTCTCTCATGACCATGTTTAAACATTACGGGAGGTTTGCTGACGGTATCAGGTATGTTCACCAAAAAACGAACAAATTAGCTAACAGTCGTAACATAAGAGCAGTTTTATTTCTGAGCGGCAGCACGCCTCACGCTCACGGTGTGTTGTCAGGCGTGGGTGGCGCGTCCAAGAAAAGTTTGTAAGGGGTCGTCCATAAATTACGTAACGCTGAAGAGGGAGGAGGGGGTTGAGGCAGCGTTACGCTGCGTTACATAGGAGTAGTGGAGTCTTAGTTTAGTGTTACGTGATGCAGGTACAGTAAAATACAAGCCGGAATCGATCGAGCCAAAAAAGTTCCGGTTCAGGGAGATTTCCGTTTTATGCAGGGTACATTTAACGACACTTTGATATTGATATTTCCGTCCTGAAACTAGTAAATTTATTTAATGAAAGAAGTAATTAGTGTAAAGTAAAAATTACATTGATTTCATTATGATTATTAAAATATATTTACATATAACTTATTTATGGAAGAAATCCCCAATAAATTACTATTAAACATTCTTCATTGACAGCTTCTGAGTTTCTCTTGCTTTCATAACTTTGACCTTTCCATCTAATGACAGAGAATGCTACAGTTTTATGGTCTTTACATTGTTAAACTGGTTGTGAAACTCACACTAAAAATACACACCAACTCATTGACTAATAGGTGTAAACACTGACTCTTTCAACGCACAATGCGTACTATGATTTTATGATACCCTCGTATGGTCTTTAGCAATGAGTCTCTTGCCGAGGGGTTGCGATTTTGAACGAGAGGCAGGGAGAGACGTGAATAGAAGCTCTGCCCATACACCTTCACACGCTCGGAGAGGAGAGGGGATTCCCCTACGGCTTACGCCTTGAGTGACAAGTGATCCAAGGTCAAATTCTACGCTGCCAACAGACTTGCAGATGCGTTCATAACATTAATGATATTTCGCATCTCTACCAATACCATTAAATTCACTGGAATTCCGTTTTTTAAAGATTTGTCCCCCCTATAGGACATGAAAAATCATTCCGTTTTCGCGTTGTACATATTCCGTTTTATACTGTGTAATATACAGTATAACTTCACGACCAGAGACATTTTCCGGTTCATGCAAGATTAAGGCTTCTGAAGGTTCCGGTTTAAACATATTTTACTGTATTTATTTTTAAAATTTTCAATATTTACTTAAATAATTCCTTTTTGTTCAGTCTTACACTAAAACATTACCATATTAACAACTTCAATTATAAATACAATGTATTAAAGAAGTTATCTTCTATAAATTATTACAATAAATATTTTATATAAAATATTTTACATCAATGATATATTGATTGGATCTTTTGAATTACGAAGAAAATATTCAGAACTGTTCTATAATATAATCTATAGAGTCCAATTAGAGTAGAAATTATATTAGAATACTGATCTATAGAATTCAGTTAGTAGTACAGTAGACTCAGAGCCTATGCGTCTTTCTTTCATTAAAAAATCGTCCCCAAACATTTTGTTATGCGCAGTTTTCACCCCAACTAAATCTCACGTTAATTATAATAAATTTTTATATATAACACAAATACAATTAATACAACGTTTTTCTGCTGTGTAATCAATTAAACAGCATTTATTTATTGGAATTGGGGAGGGGGGGACTTGTCGCAAGCGTTACATAATTATTAGAGGGGGTTCAAGCACACATTACAAGGTGTGTTACATGGGGCAGAGAGAGTATTCAAAAGGCTCCAAATTTGCGTTACGTAATTTATGGACGGACCCTAATCAGATTTTTGGAATGGAAAGCAAGAATTTTTCGATTATTCTTTCTTTATTATTGCTTTTAAGAATTTACACTGATAATTATTTGATAGAAATCCAAATACTTTAAAATATATTTTATTATAAAGTAAAATGTTCTTAAACAGTTTTAGTAATTGTGTCCATGAATTGATCGGGAAATATTGGAGAGGGAGGTCTCAAATCCCAACGACGATTGCTTTTCCAACACCCTTAAATTTAACTCATCCTCCGTCTAGACTGACTAGAGCGTATGTCGGAAGACGATTCGGGAGGTTAGATCGCGTTGCAGCTGGTGGGAGATAAGTCGATAAAAAAAGCAATTTGACGTGTAGGTCGGCGCCGGATATCATCAACCAGAGATGGAAAACAACACTGCTCCCCCGTGTAAAAATAGCTGCACTACACTTACAGCTATCAGGACAACAGCAATTGAAAGTTAGCTCCCGGGAAAACAAAATAATCTATAAATCTATCACCCCCATCGGGACACGTACCCCAATACCTCGCGGGCAGCGACGTTACAGAATTCTGCCTCGGAGCCACCGAGGTTTTTAACACAAATACGCATACATCCAACTGTCAATTAACTCTAAAAAACCCTTTCTACCCTAAATGCTTGTGACAACAATACTAAGAAAAAAACATAATTTTAAGGTTTTTTAATTCGGTCGCATAGTGTTTGAGAGTATAGGGCACATACATACAAACATTTTATTTTCACAGCTAAAAATATTTAAATATTGAATAAAATATATTGCTTATTTGATCATATTAATTCTGTTAGAAGCGTTGTAACTTGAACAGGTCCCAGGTACGACAATTTCAGTGCAAGTAACTCACATAGCTCACAAAAATACAATCAAGCATTTTCACTTCGTCGCAATGCTGCGTACACACGTAGTGAAGAAAAAATCTAAGCAGTCAATAATGCGGCCGAAATCGGTGGTTTTGTAACAGAGAAAACTCGTAACCTGGCATCGAAAAGGGATATATCTCATACCTATATGTGGCAAATAACTTCCTCTAACACGTTGTCTTGCCACGTTCCAAGTTTAATAATCCTTGATTCAATGAAAACTTGGTTCATGGCAAAACTATCCCTGTCTGCCAGTCTAACAGCCTGCCAACCAGCCAACCAGCCTCTCTGTCAGTCACCATGTCTGCCAACCATGTCTGTCCTTCCGCCAGCTTGTCTCTCTGCCCGCCAACTTATCTGTTGAGCCTCCTCCTGTTTGTCTGTCTGTATGACATTGAGTATCCCAGCTTGTCTGTCTGCCAGTTTGTCTCTTTTTCATTTTGTTTCTTTGCCAGTTTGTCTATCACCAATTTGTCTGTCTGTCAGCCAGCCTCCCAATGTCTGTATGCCAGCCAGCCAACCTATGTCTCTCAGCTACCCGGTCTGTCTGCCAGCTTGGGCACAGAACATGTTAAAGGAAGTAACTTGCTATACATACGAAAAATTCTGACAAAATCTCTCCGTTTTTCCACAGCATTATAATACTGTCTCTATACTACATAAGTAGTATGCGAGAAAGTAATAACTGAGGTAGACAACTGGGAATCGAACCCGATTTTGCGCATCCACGGGGCGCGGAAAATGGAAATGTACTATCGTATTAATGGATTTAAAGTAAATTCATGAAATCATTAATTTGTCAGTTGCAGCACCTTGGTAAAATAATAAAATATACAAATACGCACCTTGCGGGCTGTCTGAACTTTCTGCGCACGCAAAATTTTGGCATCGTCTGCAATTTGCTGATGAAAGACTTCGACAGCCGCCAGACGGGCGCGGGCAAGCTTTTCATTCTCTTCTAACACAGTTCGCCACACATTCCACATGTTCCTGGAAAACGAACGTGTTCACACTTATACGAATTTAGGACATTTACATTTTAGCAAACAGGTGTTAAAATTTTAAATACTCAATGTGTTCTGACTTATCAAATGATTATAGCGGGCAAATGCCATTGAACCTACGGATACTTTTTTTTTTCCAAATTTTGTCAGCCTTTATTCAGCTGAGTATTTTATTTCCATGAATATAGCTCCACGAATTTAGAAAATTACAGACAACTAGTGGTGCTACAACGGCACATTCTTCCTTGCAGTATTTGTAACGGTTGCCCAATATTATAATACCGACTTCATGAAACTGCAAAGGTGTTTCCAACCTGCGAAGTGCTTTTTCTGCACTAGGATTGGAACACAGGTTCTTAGGTTTAGCCCTACGTAGACTGAGATAAACGTATGCTTCACAACGCTTAGAGAAAAAAAGACGATCATTTTCATTTGCAATTTTAAAAAATTCAGAGGTTTTTATTTACATTATTTAAAATCTAGTTCAAAAGAACATTTTTCATCAACAAAAAAATCTGCGTTTCTGTATTGTAATTTTAGGAGTACTAAAATATATTGAACTTTTGCAATCTTCCAAAATATTAGTTCAAAGAGAAAGGCACCTCCACAATTGTTATAAGAACACTTTGATATTGGTCACTCAAGAAAAACTGAATAAAATTGAAGAAATAAATTTTCAATCGTTATTTGCTTAATTTTTATATCATTTTTTCATTAACATTACAATCTAGTCTTATAGACTAACAGGCAATTTTCTTTTGACCTTAACTACTATGAAATAATTTTTTTTTCTAAGAGCTACCCCATTAGCTTTCTTTTAGTTTCAAATTGAATTTAATAGCACACTTTCTTGTGTTTGTGGAGACACTGGTATTTACACTTGCGATACCTTCCTCGGCGCCTTCCTTCTGCTTCTCTCTTGAGAGTCCCCTCCACGTCTGCTTCTCCTTCTCGTTCGCAGTGTGAGCACCCGCGCGCGAAATTCTCAACTTCAACGCAAATGATTTTATTGCGTTCTTTGTACAGTTCCGGCGTACCTACGACACCTACCGATCTCCGCCACTTACACAAATTTAGAGTTCGTACAGGCGCCCTTCTCAGCGCAAATAATCTTTGGCTCCGTCGCCTACGTAACTCACGTTGAATACTTTTGCCTTTAAAGCAAACTAACTTGTTCTCACAATATTATTTCTCGACTCTCAAAACTCACAAAATAATTACTTGTAACTTTCTTCCTCGCTAATCAAGTCTACAGCGACGACTATGGCGTTTTTCTCACGAAACAAATGAAACGAGCGCGTGGCGCTTGAAACGAGAAACTGAATGGCGAGAGGCAAGAAGAGACTCGCTGTCGGCGGTCTGCAATATTTATGCAGCTTCCCAACTTGTGGGTGTGGAAACACATTTCCCTTTCTCCAGCTGACCCTGCTGAAACAGCTCCTTGAAGTCTGCTGTTGTGTTGCGGTCAACTGATACTAGGCCTCGCCTTTGGAGACCGCCGCTGCACTCGCGCTCGCTTTTACCGCGCTCTCTTCGCGTATAAATTGCGTGGGCGTCTGAGACGCACTATGGGAACCAGCATTTTTCATTATATTGACAGGGATTACAATCCCAGAGCTCAAAACGTAGTAAATAGTAGTAAAGTAAATAGATTAAAATACTTAGAAAACTAATTTTTCTTCAACAATCGCTTGAAAGTCTTTATCACACGATGCATGAGAAATCAAAAAAGTCCATAGCTTTAATGAAAATTACACTTTTGACATTGAATTCAACTGGGATTTGACTTTCAGTGCTTAGTTATGAGAAGCCAGATTCATCGACAGCCCACGTCGCCACTGTTATACTGCTACGTTGCTTCAATTAATTCATGTAGCAGTGATTCTAACGCAAAAAACATAAAATTCTCTCAATAAAACGATGTGACAAAACTTGCGATAAAGACATTCCTTCATCACCACACCCTTGATGACTATCCTGTTACTTCATAACCTGACGCAACAATATTTCTCAATGTGTCTCATTTTACTGCTCAACGCAATGAAACAGGCGCAGAGGATGACGAGCATTCTACGAACGAAGCAATTGGTATATCCCGCGTTCAACGGAAACAAACGTCAGAAACTTCCACGCGCTACCCGGGCCCAATATTTGCCATTTTCAGTTTGTTCTTTGCCAGACCGCACTTACGAGACTACGTTCAATTAACCGACCAATGAGAAATAGTGAAAGTCGAAAAATCAGATTGAGATTGAAGGAGAAATGACTGCGACACAATCGACAGGCAACGGGACTAATAGGTTATCTGCACAAGATGTGCTGGCGCGTGGCATCGAACGTCAAACTAGTGATTCTACAACAGCCCATAATTCTCGCATTATTTTCAAATTTGCAATTTTCAAAAATTCAGAGACCTCAACGTATTCTTTAAACGTTCTTTGGTCTACCAGTGGGAAAAAATTAAAGAAAAAATTTAGAGCGGTTTTTGAGAAAATTATTTTTTAATTGCATTAATTTCAAATACAAATCACGAAAACAACTCTTTTTTTTCTTTCAAAAATTGATACATAACTGTTTGTGCATGTCTTAAAGAGATGATTTTTATACAATTTTTTAAGGCAAAAAACTTTACCTCCAATTTTGTAGTTTTAAATTGTTAATTTTTTTCCATTATTGAAAATACCAGAAATGATACTAGCACCACTGTTTTTTATAAATATACACAAAAAGAAAATTTATAGGAGAAAATTGAAGCCATTTTAAAAAAATAACTCAAGGGTTTCAAATGGATTGTTTTGATTTTTCAGAGTAATTTATTTGAAGTTGAAAAAAATACTTTCAATTTTGTTAATGCCTCCAAATTTTTTGATCTTCGAATAGCGTAAAGAACGCCCAAGAGAATGGAGCAGGCCTAATATTCATTGAAATCCCTGAATTATCGAAAATTGCATTCGTGCAATTTTGCGGATGAGTCTTCCTACAACTATAATATTCAAGACAAAGATTTTTCCCTATATGTAATCTGTTGTCCAAAAAAATATTTTGAAATGAGGTCATGTTCAGTTTTTCTAAAATATGAGTAATTTTCGCGTAATTGTTTTTTTACATTTTTTCTCAAAAACCTCTCCATTTTTTTCTTAAAATTCCCTTCTCCTTGTATGTAACAAAGCACGGCAGAAAATATGATGCTAGCTAAAATTCAGCCTTTTATTGGATAGAGAGAATTAAATTTTTAAGCGCCATCCCACGTTCGACCGAGATACACAGTTTCCACGGCGAAGACGTAAGGCTGACGGCAGTTAACTTGGAGAAACTGCGTTCGAGTCTCGACGCAGGATAAATATTTTACTAGTTGAAAACACTTTTGCAGTTTCATGTAGTTGTATAACATAGCGGAGCAGTTACACTTTTGCAGGTTCATTAGTAGTATAATAGTATAGCCATATCATTTACTAATCTAGAGGAGGGGTACTTTGATACACACTGCTGTATGTTAATATGTACATTTAAAGGCCATTTCCTCCTGTCTGTTAATTAAAGAATATTTTCCCGGTAATTAATACTATCTTATGTTTATGTAGTAGTCACTATTGACCATTTTGTTGCCTCAACAGTAAATAAATAAATATATAATTGAACCACACTTCATTTACAAAATAATTTACAGACTTCGGCTGAGGCTGAGTGATATACAAGTATTAACAAATTAAGCTAATATCTTCTGAATATGTACTTCACAAATCTAAAGTAATATTTGACTCTACAAGAAGTGATAACTCGAACTGTGAATTCCGTACGTGGTCAGCAAAGAAACTGACACCAGCGCTAAAGTTTTCGGCATGCCCTTTTGGTCAATGCTCGGGAGTGTACACACTCAGCTGCAAGTGTTAGTGACATGGCCGCCACATATCAACGTTAACTGGCAAATGTTTACACATCACACTGTCTTCCAATAACTGGCAAGAAACAATGCCCATGGAAATCTTTAGGTCTTATTTTCGAGAAAACAACAAGACGATTTTCCATCTAAGAATATAGAATCATCGCAATATTGAGAATTCATTGTACCAGCGAACCTGAACGAAGACCGCCAAAGTGTAGAGGTTAGGGAGCTCGATTTGGCGTCAAAGAGAAATAAATCCTGCTCAGGTAAATATTTTGTCTTTAACCATTTTGTAAGAATAAAGCAAACACACTGAATTGAATTGGAGGACACACTTTTAATAAAACTTTTTGAATTTTCAAACATTAATAATGATGTTCTTTAAAACTCCAGGGCTTTGTTTGGTGATGAGAGATTGAATGAGACAGTTAAAGTATTAGTAGGAAAAAATTGCAACATTATGATAATACGTACACCTAGCAAATCATACGAGAAAATATGTGCTGTTTTAGCTCTACTACTTTATTAGACCAACACAATCTTATAGGACCAATTTTCATGATTGTACGTCTTAGGGGAAAGGCCAGTCCTCTCCATAGTTTTCTTAAGGTGTGAAATATCTCCATTAACGTTGATATGACTATTATTACCATTATTATTGTTATTATTATTATTATTATTATTATTATTATCACTATGGGGCGAATTTTAATGAAATGTTATGTTTTTCTTTTCACTTTAAATCACCGGCTTTTAGTATAGAAATTAATTTTGTCATGACAAAAGAAAATGACCCGTTTTTATAGGGAATTTTTCTTACTTTTTTTGGTCGATTTCGGCTCATAAGATTTTTTTAAGTCGCCATTTTTAAAGCATTTTTTGCTGATTTCATTGAGTTTAATATCATTTTAATAGTACTTGAATCAAATAATATGTTTGAGATGCAACAAATGTTATCCACAGAATTCCTGAGTTGCCTATTCAATTTCTTCGGTTTCGGCCGATTTCGCGATAACTATAACTAAAGACAGATATTTTGTAGTAAAGAACCGTGCAAACCCAAAGTTTCTAATCTGCGTTCACTTAAACGAAACGAAGAAGCCTCGATTGCATCAGTAACATAACCAACAGCTTACGGGGTTTATCTGAACTGGTTTTGATCAATTTTTTTACTTGTAGACTATTTTTAAAACGCTTTTAGAGCAGTTTATTGATCATTTTTGGCGACGTTTTAGGGTATCAAAATCCGCCCCCTTATTATCTCATTACTAACTTACCATTTTTCTTCTCCGCCATCTAGTTTTATATCGGGAATATTGGGTATTTTCTTGTTTAGAAATGCTGATGATATCTTCAGTAGAGCCTAGAAACAGAACAAATGTATTAGAATTAATGATTTTCAGTTGAAGAAATGGACATTTAGTCTTCGGTGTTCGGGTTGATAAATTGTTACAAGCTTACCAACATAGACATTTCAATAATAGTAACACAGGCCTGCGCTGAAAGAACAATTGTGAACATTTTAACTGTCTCTAATGTATATTTGTGCGCTGAAATTCCTAAACCGACTAGAAATGTTCATCACGTACATTTTTCACAAATTGACATTGATACTTTAATAGGTTACAGTCATTTTAACACAGTCTGCCAAAGCCATCTATTAGTTTCTATCTATCTATTAGTGTGGCCCTTAGCTCTAGAGTAATGCTCTGAAAGTTAACATTTTTCTGCTCTCACACCCTATTCCGATTTCCCCAATTCCGAACAAGGAAATTAACAGTACAAAATTTCAGCCCAATCAGACAATTACTAAGCGACCGCCACACGCCTTAAAGTTTGAACTTAGTACACGAAAAAAACAATTCGATTGAAAAGCAGTATACTATTATCTTCCAAGACCATTTTATTTTTCCTCAATTTGGGGGACTCATTCAGGCAATCCTATACTCATTTTCACGTCGTGAAGGCGCAATGGGTTCTTATGGACAATGTTATTCTATGGAAGAATCTCGTGTACTGTTGCCAAATATATTGTTGCAAAATTAAATAGAAAAATGTAGACTTGAAGAGAAAATGGCGAGGAACAAGATGGTAATCGAGAAAAAT